TAAACTGTGATAAGATTTTGTTACCAAGCGGCATTTGATAAGAGGTCCAGTGGTTTTGGTAAACAATAAACAGTTTTATAACAGCTGTTGCACAGTTGGTTAGTGCTTCAAGAACTACAAAACAGGCACTGTCTAAACCTTAGTTTGGAGTATAGGAAGGTGAGGTGGGAAAATGGCCCAAGTAAAATGACTATCACAGACCACATTTTGTAAGTATGTTTATAATGAAGTTAAATAAGCATTCTTTATGATTATGTTACATTCCTATCCCAAATTAGTTTCTGAAACCTTAGGGCTGTTCTCAAGTATAAAGCAGAGGATCGGCAAACAATAGTCAGTTGAAGTGTTTTGTTGGCACTCTGCCATGCTCACACTACAGTACCAAGAGTACAAACTGACAACCCATGGCCAATACAGAAAATGTTTGCCAGCCTCTAACTTTAAATGAACTACTCCGTTAGCTTTACAAAAATCACTTGACCCCTCAAGTCCTTAAACACCCAGGGAATCTTGTTAGTTGAAATGAAATGTATGTGAAAATGCCCCGTAGCTAGCAGAGCATGTGCAGTACTGGCTAAGGTGCTAAGATTAGGTAACTGGTAAGGGCACTCTTGCTTGGACTCACTCCACTAGCTAGAGAAGCAATGATCAAGCACAGCTCTAGCTTCCAAGGTCCTCTGTGTACATTAAGCAAATCAAGGCCCATTCCGGAATTAGAAGGGAGGGGATTGTTTTAGCCTTATATTCAAGGCTAAAGACACTAGTAGAAATTCAATTTCTGCTTTGGGATGCCTATTTAGAGCAAATAAACTATAACCAAGCTTTTTATAATGACACAGTTTTTTACATATTTATTCTAAACCTTCTTCACTTGGTTGACAAGGAAAACTTAGGTGATAAATTCATTTCTTCTACAACTGTTGTAGCAAATAAGACCTCTGCATCCCAGGGGTCATGACACAAGCCATTCCAGTCCGCGGTGTTATTAATCCTCATTCCATGTTTCATTCCCCCACTGTGTGGAGTCTCGATTGCTAATAGCATTTAAATGAGCAAACTATTTACAGGAGTATCCCTGACATGCTGACTTATCCCCCAGTGTTACATATTTTTTTAATCTATAGGAATCTTAGGTAGCAACATACTTTACAGAGCATTAAAACATATGGTCTAAGATGTCATGATATTCCCCAACTTTATTAATCAATACCCAACTCAAAATCATATCAATTGGGTAATATCCAATCCTTCATCCTTTCCTTAGCAATCAATCAAGGTAACTGACTAATCAGAATAGATTAGAACAATCTTACTCAAATACTCTTGATAATATATACCTTAATTTTAAAAACCACAAATACTAAATTTAGAGATGGACATACAGACATTGGGAAAGAAAACAGAAATAATGAGTAAGGGAATAAAACTGATCACAGAATTCACTGTTACAACTTTGTATTTCTTTTGAAATAACATTACTCAAGCTAAGAAGAAACACTGTGTTTTAAATGGATGCTTAACAGTTTAAGATTATCAGCAATCTGCAGAAATTGCATAGTATTGGATTAATCGGACTCGTCAGCCAACCTCTAAAACTAAAGACAGGAGGTCAAAATTTGTTAATCCCTCTTTTTCCTTCTTTTTTTATTATTAAATATCTTCATTTTCTAAAAATAAACAACCAGGGCTTGTTGACATATGATTACTACAAAACCAATGCAAAGTATAGTATATCAGAGACACAATAATAAGTGGATAATCAAATGTATTCTTATTGATCACAATTTATTGTAAAGTCATGAAAGGCCAGCAACAGTCAGTCTGGACAAATACTTGATTGTACCCAGTTGATGGGATGTGGACAGCAGCACTGAGTTACACGATGAGAGCAACACTTCCTTTTCCATCTTCCTAGAAAAATATTCGTTAGATAAGGTAAAGGACGGGCAGCTACTGAATGGTGATGTTAACCATGCAAGACCAACAAGTAGGTGTGCAATAAACATCATTGCTAAATCTTGAGCTGGAAGGGCAAGGGGAATAAATGGACTTCAGCTAGGAATTTGTAAGAATTAATGCAAGAAATAAGCTTTTAAAGAATGTCTTCCATCTACCTTTATACAGGGTAGCACCCAAACGTAATTTTCTTTAGGCTGATGCACAAGTGGCCTGGTTCTGTTCTCCTTTGTTCCCCTTAGAGCTCAAGATTATAAAAATGATCAACAATAACAACAAAAAAACATTTATTTCACACCTCTGCATAAATAGCTAAATTGAAGATTACTGTTCACTTTCTTCTTCCATTATTTCAACTCTTCGAGGCCCATAAAGTAAAACATAAGCAATGTGCCAGTCTCCACCACCAGACAGCCGCAAGATATCTTCTGGTGTTACAATGCTGACCTTATCATCATCAAACTTGATCCATTCATCTAAATTAAGAGGATAGGAAACAATTATTTTCAGAGTTCTAGTACAAAAGAAACTAACTTGATGTGCAGCAGTACTCTACCCGACTACCAACAGCTCTCCAAGTGTAGCCTAGGAACTACACAGGTTCAAGATGATGTCACGAGTTCCAATGACATCCCAGCTATTTAAACACTACTTCTAATGCATGCTGTCTTTCTACCCTCATTGCCTCCACTCTGCAGTGCACTCTGCAGTTCTCCAAAAGCTATATAATATGTGCCAATGCAACTCTGAGCACAAACAGACTAAGAAAGGGACTAGGGTTGTAGCTTGTAGCAGAGCACTTGCTCAGCATATGCAAGGTATCTTTGTTGTTTGATGCCAATATCAAAACAAGAATCTAGCCATATCAATCTGGACAAGAGGAAAACAAAATGTAAATGTAAATCCAAATACTTGTGATATTTTTGCTTGGGCAATAGTTTTTAAGCTAACATTCTCAGCTACATCTTCTGGTGTTATAAATTTGAAAATAAAAGATATGTAAAGCCTGGGGTAGGGGGGCTTGAGAACACAGAGAAGGAAGGGATTTACTCTGAAGAACATGACACGCAGACTAGAGCCTGAGTTTTGATCCCCAGGCAAGAGCTGTGCATAGCAGCTCCTCTCTATAGCCCTAGTGCTGAGTCTAGCTGAATCTAGCTCTAGCTCAATGAGAAACTGTCCAGATAGTGGTAAAGAAGACACCCAACATAGACCTCTGGCCTATACACAAATACCCAACAAACCGGCACACAAACTATAGGCAATTATTTTTCATTTTAATTTTTAAAAGGCATGAAGAAATTCATAGACAAAAGCACCCACAATGCTATGAAGTTTGCAATAATAAAGTAGTAGTTAACTATAACAATACTCTTTACCTTGTTTCCTTTTCACCCATGATACATAATGACCTGAAGAACTAGATCTTCCCTGGTGAGTTAGCACTGCTTGTAAGTCATAGTATCCACAATTATTGGAGCCAATATCTTAAAGAGAAGGGAAATGAATTTAAAACAGGCAACAAACATACAAGTGCTCTCTCAGAGTAACAATCATCAAGTTAGGATTGGAGAAATACTGTTCTACTAGACTCCATAAATATTGCTGTGCAGAGCTACAATTAAGTTTATTACCCATAACTATATATCCAAATGCACCACTTAAGTTACATTAAGGAAAATTACTTTTCAAGAAGCCTGAATTTAGGCCAGGTAATGGAGGCTCATGCCACGCTAATACTTGGGAAGCTAAGACAAGTGAATAGCTAACTTTGAGGACCACCCTTAGCTACATGGTGAATTCCAAGTGATTCTGGACTACAGAGAGAGGCTTTCTCAAAAACAAAATCTTAAGTTTTTAAAAGAAAAAACATGGTATCTGAATAAACAGATAAATGGCAGAACATGCCACCTGATTTAAATGTGTATACAGTAAAAATGAGACATCCACTTACCATCAGCAAATGAAAAGGGTTCATACTTAACCTCTTTTGGGGGACTACTCTTCTTGTCATTCTAAGAGGAAAAAAGATTTAATTTTCAATTGTGATATTGGAAATGAATACATTCTTACTAGTATTTAACTATATAAATATTTATACAGTCTACAAATCACTGAAATGACAGTGTGCCTTGCAAAATACTTTAATGATAAACTACACTTACCATAAAAACCGCAAAGCCAAAGGCTCTACTCTTTAATAATACACAATATTATCACAGTACATAATCTCCCTGAATATTTTGCTAATGTTAAGCCACTAACTAAAATTTTAACATATCAAAGGATTTAATGTTGTGTCCGTGAACCTGCAGGAGCTACCTCAAAAACAAAACAAGTTTCTGAGTCAAGTTTCTGCAATCAAAGCCATGCCCTTCCGTTTTAGCTGAAATGAACAAAGGTCAACACTAGAAGTAGTATGATCAACTACATGGACGAGAGATTTTAGTGGGAACTCACTGCCTCAACTCATCTTACTAATAAGAAAAAATTAAATAGGCCTCAAATAAAAATAACAGAAAACAGGAAACTCAACAAAACAGGGCCAGACTTTGAAATGACAATAAAACTGAGAACCTTCAAGAAGAGACAAATTACAATTATCAGTAAAGAAATGGGCTAGGTTTGCCCTATAGACATGAAAGAGCTAATAAAAACACCATGATCAATTATACAGACAAATGTGACCTGCTAAATGAAATTAGTCAATTCTGTGAGAACAAAACCAAATATAACATGAAGTACATCACTTGAGTAATCCTGGACTTGACCCTGAAGTTTGAAGGAACTGAGTCAAAACTTTGAAAAATTGAAGAAGTATCCAGACATTGGTTATTTCCATAATTACATCAACTACAAAAATATTCCATACAGTATGAACAATAACAAAAAACAACAAAAAAGTACTTCAGGATGTAAAATAAACATACAAAGTTTCAACAAAGCAAGCAATACCATTTGCAGAAGCATTAAAAAGAACAAAGCGGGAGATCACAAAATCCAGGAAATTCATTAGTAACTTTGTGGCAAATGCCTGTAATCCCAGCACTTTGGAGGTCTAGAAGCAGGAAGATTAGGAGTTAAAGGCTAGCCTCAACTATCTAGCAAATCTGTGACCAGCCTGAGCCCCATGGCAAAACAAAAACAAAAACAAACACTGTATTATGGCCAAAGAACAGATAATCAAACCAATGGAATAAAATTGAAGACTCCAGAAACACATTCTTATCTATTGTCAACCCATTATCTACAAAGAGGGCAGGATCATTCAATTGGCAAATACTTTTACTTTTTTTTTCTTCTTAAGATGCTAGTGGGTCATATCAAAAAGAATGAATCTTATCACATAGAAGTTAAACTAGAATGAATCAAATATCAAAATAGAAAAACTATAACACTTTTCAACTTTTTCTCTGCATTAAGAAGATGAAAAGATAAACTACAGACTTAGAGAAAAGTTAAGAATTACAAGAGAATAACATAGTTCAACAGAACACATACATACAACAACCAAAGCATAAAAAGTAGTCAACATCATTAAAACTTGGGAAATGCAGAAGAAAACACAAGACAAACCTATCCATCAGCTCAAATGAAGACTAGTGACAACATCAAATACTGATCAGAAAGAGGGCCAGTCATGCTTTGCTGTCAGGAATATAAAGAAAGAAGCTTTTGGTACTTTCTTGAAAAACTGAGCATGCAACCTCCATGCAACACAGCAATTATACTTTTGGACATTCATTCTAGGAAAATGAAACTCTGGCTGACACTAATATCTGCAAATGAACATTTTTACCAGGTTTACTCATAATAGACAAAAACTGAAAACAATATTAAATATCCTTTAATAGAGGAATAGTTAAACTACAGAATACCCACACAAGGAAATACTATTCAGTGGTAAAAACATACCTACTAACATACACAACCTGAATGACTTCTAATTAATTATAAATGATGAATCAATTCAAACAGTTGATGTTTTACAAATGGGAGCCTACAAATTTCATTTATGTTCATTTTCATTAATTTCAAAGGCTCAGAAACACAGAGGATGAGACTAAAATGGTAATTCTACTCATCCAATTCTATTATAAAGAGAATTAAAATACCTCATGGAAAATCATTACCCATGGAAAATGAAGACATCATGTTAAATGCATATATGCTGTAGACTCCAGGGCTAAGATGATCAAGGGCCTACACAGCAGAGACTTCCTTCTTGCACTACATTAGTTCATCTACAGGTAGAAGGAGCCTGGCATCAAAATATGCAAGATGTATGCACCTCCTAACTGAAACGCAGGCTGATCA